CCTAGTGCAGACAGGATCTCCATAGTCCAATGTCTTCTGTAAAACAGGATGGTTCGCCATGCTCTTGACAATGTCGGCTAAGGGTAGACTGATGTTTTTCTACCTTTGGGTCATCAGGAACTTCTGAAGATCAGCCTGGTGTGTCTAAAAGCCTGTTAGCTAGTAGAGCAGTTATCCCAGGGTACAAGGAAGGACTGTTCCAGTGGAAATCTGAATATCCAAAATTCACTAGACTATCATGTATGTTCTATCTGGCCAATGCAGAAGGGAAAAAAGATGCAAGTTAGTAGTGACAAAGCTCTGAGTGAGAAAGTCACAGGAATTTCATACTAAAACAGCTTCAGGTTGTGAGGGAGAGAGACAGAACAGGGCTAGAATTTGCGTAAAGCAGCTGACAGAGAAAAGTTAAGGAAGGGAGATGGGGCTTTGGTGCTTCTATCAAGAGTAAAGTGTGTTACGATGCAAGTCCACATAATTTCAAAAGCCTCCAGTTTTCCTGGTCATTAGTAGACGTGTAATGAAGCTGTGTAAGTGTGCCACAATATCACCTAGAAGTTGTTCTTCCTTTTCCTTTGGATCAGCGTAGCCCAGAAATTCCTTTTCCCTGTATTGGTGGTGCTCAGGGAGAGCTTCAGCCACTCTCCCATGTAGGACGACGGCATTGCAGATCTTATGGAAGATGCAAGTTTTTAGCAAGACAGTAATAGATGAGAAATTTGAGTAATTTTCTCTCTCTGTATCAGCTATAAAATAAATCTATAATAGTTTCAGCTTCTTGACAGAAGGTGAATGAAACATTGTAGAGGTGACACCACTATGCACAGATGGGGCTGTTACTTCCAGTCCTCTTCTTATGGCCGGACATAAAGCTGCCTAAGTCAACAGGAATCTGATCAGTCACTTGAGCATGCTCTGGATGAAGACGTACGTGCTCTAGGAGGTCTTCACAGGCCTTCTTCAATGACATATGTGGGATTTCACCCGATTTCAAGAAATGTAGGTGAGAAGTGGAGGAACAGATCTTAGCCAGATGACTGATGTATGTCAGTGTACTTGAGACAAGATGGTTCTTCCTGGAGTGATGAAAATATTGTACAACTCTAATTTGTTTTTATCACTCTAAGACATCACCTTTCAGCAGTATGGTGTACAATGTGTCTGTGAAGCCTCAGTTGATTTCATCCTGTGCACTGATGCTAGGGGAAGGGGGTGCTGGATGGAGGCTGGAGTGAAAGACTAAGCTCTTTTTTCCACTACTGCCATTATCTCACTTTCTAGCAACAGACAAGCATATTCCCCCATCAGAAAAACATGGCTGATAATATCTACTTGCCACCATGAGGAAGGAAAAAAGACAGTTGGGGGAAGGCTTAGCCCATTAATATTTCATTGGATAAATCTGATAAAACCACAGCTATTGGCCCAAGGGCTTCATCTCCTACATGTTACCAACTTGGCACACGAAGACTAAATTTTCTTTGCCATCCCCCACTTGGGAAATAAAATCCTAAGAACAACAAACTCCTCACCGAGAGCTGGTGAACAAATTGCAAATAGATTGTAGATTCTGGTACCTCTTAGGTGCTATCAGCCTTAACGAGTGATGGATGACTTTTTATATGACAGCCATGAATGACGGTGAATGTGCCTTCTCCTGCTCTCCTTTCAGCCGGGACAGTTCCTTACTCGGCACCTCTGGGACCCTAGCAGTGGAGACACAGGAACAGTGCAAAGTTCTCGAATGACAAGAGATTAGTTCAGTGAGTCCTGATACTTGGAGGATATTATGCTAGGGTTGGATAATCTGAAGCTTCACGATGGTATGGAAGAAGAATGCTGATATGCACTTGAAGCATCAAGCCTGCGATGAAGTCCCTCTGGATCTCAGCCCCTTGGGAGCAGTGAGTGAGTGAGGGGAGAGACACAGAACAAGACCAGTTGAGGGAGATTTCATGCTGCATCCCTAAAGTATTGCTATCCCATCTGACAAACTTTAAACAGTATTATGATGCTGCGGCCGCAGAGCTGCTGTACTCTTTCAGTATCCGAGCCCTGAAAGACTCAACTGATACCATACATTGCTAGTGATAATGAACAGTCTGAGGAATCGTCCAGTCAGGGTTTGCCTATGATAACAAAACCTGCAGGATTTTCTTTTTTATTACTTCTTTTTTTTTTAATGTTATTCAGCTCACCTTGCCCTCCAGACTGGATTAGGACCAGAGTCCTCTGACTTCCATTGTGTCACCAGATGCAATCTGAGCCCAGAACTCAGGCTGAGGCCCTGCCAAGGCAGTCCCCTGCGCAGCCAGGCTTCCACACACACTTGGTATCTGGCTCCATGGAGCCAAATTCAAGAAACACTGGGATCTCTGGTTGTTCAGGAACTCTGAAAAAAAACCCAAAAAGTTATAGTTTCATCATGCAACCTCGGAGAGCATTTGCCGTGGGATATTTAGTATATTGGATCAAAGTGAATAGTTTTTGAGGTGGGTTTTCACATAACAAAGAAGCAGAAAAAAGTAGTTAACAGCTTTCCAGACTGATTAGTTGTCTGTATCTCATTTCCAATTACAATGCAAATTCTTTCAAAAAAACGCATATGTTCAGATCTGATTGCTTGTTTTAAATACACAGCTCAGCAAACTTAGCTTTTTTTAAGACTCAAAAATCTTTTGCAATCTGATCCTGAATTGTGAAAACATGTTTTTTATCTTTAAATCTTTACTGAGTAGTCTGATGAACACTAATTAGTTTACAGGCTTTTATGATTCAGATATTTGCTATTCATTTTCTACAGTGTCTCAAGGTTCACTTAAGTCTTGTAGGATTTTTTCCCACTCTCTGGTTGGATAAGAGTCCTTTTTAAACAAAGGCACAAGGAAGGAAAAACTAACAAATAATAACCTCTTAACGTGTGCACTCTTGACCTGGATTATCTAAAAAGAAATTTTTTTCACAAGAATGGCCATGACTCAGATGTTGTTTCTGAACAAAAACCTGCTTGTGAAGCTCAGAAAGGTTCGAAGAGAATCAAACCAAACAGGTACTGGAGATCAAACTGCGCGTTAGGGAGCTGCAGAATTCAGTACCTCAGTGTTTGTCTGGCCCTACTGATTAGGGGTGCCTGGTAACTGGCAGTTCAGAGACAATACCAGCTATCCAGAAAAACAATTTGATACCATCTCAATTTGCAGTCATCCCCTCCCCCAGAAACTATGGCCAAGAGTGCCACAGCAGTAGGGAGTCAAACTTGGCTGACCCAGTAAAGCACCTGATTCGAAGACTCTGGTTCTTAACATCATTCAACCAGACATCAGGATCCAGCTTGAATTCTTTGCTTCATCTGTCAAAGCCTCGCATTTCAAATCAGTGGCTGTTGATCTTTTTCAGTAGGGATGCCTCAGCCAAAAAGAAAACCAGGAAACCAATCTATAATGCTGATAGAACCACAGGCAGGATGAGGAAGATAGAGAATCTGTGAGCTCTGGAGGACAGCATGGAAACTACCATAAAGTGTGTACCTTCAGCAAGTGTCCAACGGCAGTTGTTATCACGCATTGCTGCACATTGTCCCTTGGTTCATCAGATGTTGCTCACAGGTTTTGAGCAACCTGGAAACTGCATGCACAAGGTCATAGTAAGCATAGGTCTGGCCTGTGGCTCAAAGACAACGTCATCTCTATGAGGGTCAGATGTAACAGTTTGACAAGGGAAATAGGTACCCACTCAGACGGGGTGAACAGCCGTCACACAGGTCTCTGCTCCCACGTACCGGAGCCTCAGTCTGAGTTCCCTACGCAGACTTTTCTGGAAGAGCAATAAATGCACACCCTTATAGCACAGCTGCTGCTTCTTATGGACGCCCACAGAACAGGTGGCTGCAGGACCTAACTTCATTCTGGACAAGATATGGGTCTTTTAACCTCTGCTCCACAGTTAGTTGTCGTTATTTTTTTCATTTCATATTTGTGATACTCACTTGTTCAGTCTCTCAGTGCAGGTGAGACTACACA